TTAAGTACACTCAGCAAAACATTTTCCTCTAGAAAAAAAAAAGTGAAAAGTCTACAATTTTTCTCATGCTAAGATTTTGTATTAGACATTGCTTGTTCTGATGGAAGACAACCAAAAATAATAAAACTTCATGGAATTTTGATGATCCTCTTGTTTATTCTAGGAGGAAGAGAATGGCCAAACTTGGTGCCAAATGGTCTCCAAAACAGGATACATCAAAGCAACCCAGTCAACACCTTTCATTCCCTCTGTCTTGGGGCATCGAAAGTGTCTTTCATAAGAGAAACACTTGCAGACAACAGTTTCTATCACTAAACTCTGCAGGACAGCTCTTCCCAGAACAAAAGACAATAAAGCTTCATTAATGCTGACCTTAGTTATTTGGAATCTGGCATAAAACTACACAATTTTTAGCCACATTTACCTTTGCCAGTCTAAGAAGAAAGAGACTGATGAGCAAATTAAGAGCAAGAAGAAGACTGTAAGAAAAATGTTTACCTTATTTGAGAGAATAAACTCCATCTAACATCACGGAGCATCAGCACAACAATACCAGTGCGATAAACTCTCATTACCAGTCACTTTTATCTACTTGTTAAAGCAGCTTTGGCAGGACTTGCATTTGGCGAAACACTCAAACTTGTTCAAAATATTATTTGTACTTCAGTAAAGCTGCATTTACTTTAAAATAGGCTGTGATTCAGAAAAACATTCAAAATTTTAATGAGTGCCTGAAGTTATTCTGTTAGTAAGCTCTTACAGTATTATACACCTTAATTTTTTTCTTTTTGGCCACACCATGCAGCTTGTTGATCTCAGTTCCCCAACCAGGGACTGAACCTGGGCTGCAGCAGTGAAAGCCTGGAATCCTAATCACTAGACCACATGGGAACTCCCAGCACCTAGAACCCCCCCCCCCTTTTTTTTTTTTTTTTTTTTTTTTTTTTTTTTTAGTATTTACTTATTTATTTAGCTGCGCCAGGTCTTAGTTGCAGCATGTGGGACCTAGTTCCCTGATCAGGGATCGAACCCAGGCCCCCTGCATTAGAAGCACAGAGTTTTAACCACTGGGCCACCAGGGAAGTCCCCACCTTAATTCGTGAATACTGCTCTCACAGGCACAAACCTCAGGTCTTTCTATGGAAAGCAGAATGTTCTAGTATTCTGACTCCAACAGTTGGAAAGTTTTATTTTCTTCCACTCAAAATAAATTTATGTTATACAGAAGAAATACTAAGTATTGCTTTATTTTTCTTCATCATGACCCCCATTAAGACAATCCTAGACTTCCCTATTTAAATGCCATTATACTGAATCTTAAATTCTTAGTTCTTTTTGACTCTAATAAGGATTCGATCTCCCAATAATTTCAAATACTAGGGAATTTTTTAAAAAATTCTATAGTCCCGGAGTTTATACCATAAAATGTGCACTTCCCCAAAATGCCCTGCTTACTAAATGACAATGTTCCTAGTACATTTTTTCCAGTGTATTCTCTATGGTTAAAGGGGAATGGAAGAAAGGGAAAGGGAAGGTGAGGGGGGAGAAGGAAGGGGGAGAAGGGTGGCATGGAAGAGTGCTAGAGGGAGGGGACAAACACCAGACGCTCTTTTACCCAAAATTACATTTCACACAGGCGCCGAACAATGAGGTTATCACCTTTCTAAACTCATTCACGTTAACTCATTGCAAAGATGACAGAAACTTAAGATTAGCGAATCCATACAGGTGTAGTTCTTTAGAAACCAAGATGGACATTATCCAAGAGAAGTGACTGCTGAAGGATTCTGCCTGTTCCCGCCCCCCAAAGATGAAACGTTTATTTTATTTTATTTTATTTATTTATTTTGCGGTACGCGGGCCTCTCACTGCTGTGGCCTCTCCCGTTGCGGAGCACAGACTCCGGACGCGCAGGCTCAGCGGCCATGGCTCACGGGCCCAGCTGCTCTGCTGCATGTGGGATCTTCCCGGATCGGGGCACGGACCCGTGTCCCCTGCATCGGCAGGCGGACTCTCAACCACTGCGCCACCAGGGAAGCCCAAAACGTTTATTTTAACCGGGCACCAGAATATAACCTGATCGCAGGGGCAGATAGGGGAAGAGAGCAGAGGAAGACTCCAGGAGTAGTTTACCTTCAAAACAGTTCTGCCTCTTTTTCAATCGCAGTCATCATCCAGCCATTGCTTTCTGAACGCATGGTCTCCTTAGTGACTAAATCATGATATTTCCATGTCGGATGGTGAGATTTTTGTTTCCCAAACTCAACCTTAACAACCACCAAGGGGACTTGTTAAATATATGGATTCCCAGTCCCACCCCAGACTTACTGAGCCAGAATCTCTAGAGAAGAATCTTAAGTTTCTAAATGATGTCAAACTCAGGCTGTTGGCTTTTTGCCTTTCTGCCAGGCAGGATCCTACCAGCACATCAACCAAAGGAGCCATACAGCTGCTCAGATAAAGGATTGATGACTTAAAAATTACAGTTTGGACAGGACTACTAGAAGTTTATTTGAAAAACACAGGACTAATTCCAGTAAGGTAAAGAAGGGGACAGACTATGGTAACAGTAGCCATGAAAAATGTTTGTCTAGGCTCAAATATTCGGCCAATAAGCATCATAAATCTAGAAGGTGAAATACAACACAAATGGCTGCATTGCCTCTCTGGCACACTAGGGATCATCTGTATATTCTAAACCTTCACATCACCATGGGATTTAGAATTCAATAATCATCCAAAACATGGCATGAGTCCCTAGATACTTTTATATTCTTTGGTCTCTTGAATAATAATAGTTTGGAATGAAGAAGTCTTAAAATAAAGACCACTAACTCTTTCCTCTACAACATTGAGAGATAAGAAAGGATCAGATGAAAGAGCAAATAATTACCTTCTAAAATTCCCCCTGCCGCTTTCATTTTCCTTTTACTAAATACGAATTGTAGTCAAACAAACTTCATCTCTGAATTAGACCATTTAGAAAATAATATAGGAATACATATATCAGGGATGTTAGTCAAGATCTGATTATTCAGCAGCTGTGTCTTCAAGTAATAAGGGCAACTCCAGTCAATTCTCAACAGTAATTTCCTCTGAGGAAAGCTTTTCATTTTTTTCTTTCTTCCTTGAGCTCCACCTCTCTCTTCTGGCACATTCTGCTCATCATACAGTACTGTGTACATTTATAGCACTTCATAAATAATAAAAAATAAAATGATGTCTGTAGGGATCAATTATTAGGCACAATTCCAAAGGTTAACTTTTAACCATGTGGAAATTATGCTAAATGCCCTCAAATGTAGTGCTGAGATATTCTTATTTTCAAAGCAAAGTATATAATCATAATGTGGAATATAATTGGCCATTCTGAATGGGTTTAATGTGTCAATGACTGGAAACTAAAACACTATCTTAATCTATCTAACATCTCTAAAGTTGTAACCACATTTTAAACTAAAAAATGAATCAATTCTCAGTTTCTCCTGATAGTGGGGGGAAAACCGTAGTGTGGATAATGCAAGAGAATAAGCCATCCAAAATTATCTGGAATTGTTTTAATATTCATGTTTCCTAGGGGGTTTTCTTTAGGGACCGATCAAATTACATTTTTATTAAGCTAGTAATGAAGCTCATGTCATTCTTTAAGTAAAAATACCTGACAACAGGGAAAGGCTCCAGTTCATGTTCAAGTTCCAATTTACCCAAGTGGCCGGCCAGGGAGTTTTGTATGGCAACAAACAACCAAATAGGTAGATAGCCCACTAACAGCAGTTTCTCCTTCTGCATAATGAGTATAAAACATCTCAACACACTGAAGATTAATTGAGAATATATCCTATAGCACTTAGCAAATGCAAGGTTTCTACAAAGTTGTGGAATTCCACTTGGAAATTCACCGTTTAGCACATAAGCTTCCCTTTCCCTCGCCACTACGGTCACAAATAAGAAAGTAACAAGATCAGAGTTTCAGTAGGAATTCCAGTCCACTGTCGTCCAGTTAATCACACTCATAACAAGAACTTCAAAATAATTTACATTCCATGTGATGAGTAGCTCTAATAAAATGAGATTAAAAGAAGACAATCTGGATGAAAAGAAACAAGAAAATTGACCAATCTTGTGGTGTTTAGTATCATTTAGCAATAAAAGTCATAGGGAGAAGGGGCAGCAAACACAAAACTCAACAGCAACAACAAAAAAGCTGGACCACAAGAGAGAACGCTCAGCTCACACAATCATCGTGTTTTTCATTGCTTGGTGATAGTTTTCCATTATCTCCTAGTGACTACATGCATTTTTAATGAAGTATACACAACAAAGTTTCTTGACACTGAGGTTATCCTTGAAAAAGAAAAGCTATCCATAAAAGTATATACTGGCAGATCATTAGAAAAGACTATGCAATTTTGGAAGAAATAAGGGTCCTATATTTTCCTTTCTGACCATCCACACATTAGTTAGTGCCCTCTAGGTTAAAGCAGAGGAAAGGCCAGACAAGGGAAATGCTCGGCCTAAAAGAGTAATCAAGTGTGTTCTTCACTGTGTAACAGACGAAGAAGAGAAGAGGAAGGCAAAAAAGGAAATCTATTCCTAGCATATTGGAGGGGAAAATAATCAGCTGTTAAATCTGGTACATAAACAAGAAGCCTAAGTGTACACAGTGGGAGGTTATGTGTTGAAAACACATTATTACATGTGGAGAGAGTGACCATGACGCACGGCCACCAAATGAATAGTCATCCCGACATCGTTAAGTTGCCACGATATCTTCTATAATAACATTTCTATTACAACAGAATACTTAAAAATATTATTCTGTTGTTGGATAAAAGGTTGTACATTATTTTTCATTATGATAATCCTCCCCAAATACTGCTAGTTAACAAATATTTGGGGACAAATATGATAGGGATAAAGGTTGATTTTTCTCCCCAGGAAACCTGCAGGAATTCCACAGTCTCCGTTACCAAAAAATTTCTGCATCTCTCAGGATTTACCTTTCTTGGATTTGGCGCCAATCTTCAGTTTTGATGGCCAAGCAATCTGCGTATTTGTTTCCTCCATGATCTGTAGCAAAAAGTAAGAGAAAATTATTGATTCAATTAAGAACTTGTATTTACAGAATTTTTTCCCGGAAAAAAAAATTATTTTCAAGTCCTTAGCCTCATGTTGATGCAACAAAATGATCTCCTTTTAAAACAATGCAAGGAAAAAAAAAAAAAAAAACCTTGGGGGAAGGAAAGAGATGCATTTTTATAAGCCTTTAATCTATTAGAAATATTCACATGCATTTTGTTACTCCCAGCGTTCCTCTCTGTGATGCTCCAGAATTCTAACGTAGAGACGAGACCAAAAAGTACATGGACAAGTAATTAACCCAACTTGTTGCCAAACCATCCAAGATGCTTGTGCTGAATAAAGCAATCACCAACAGATTGCAACACACCAAACATGATCCTTGTAATACAAAACGATGTGGGTTAGGCCTTCCTAAATGAAGCTTTTTTTTTTTTTTCTGGGGGAAAAAAAAAATTAGCTTGCTTTGGACACATTTGTGTTTCATTAAAACTGATGAAAAGCGTCTAAATGGGACATCACGTCATAAGGCTGCATTTCCCATCATCTTTCGCCTCTCTAAAATGGCATTTTTGCCACAGTTCTTTTGCAGTCACACGCACCTAATGCTGGCCAGAAGGACTTGAGACCCAAACGTGCTGAAGCCCAAGAACAAGTGATTCAGGTGTCTGCAGAGCAAAGGAAGTCAACAGTAAATGTGAGAAAAATGAGTAACCGAGAAAGGCTAACCCTTCATTCTTCTCCACTGTTATCACTTAAATTAGCCTAGTTTAATGTCTACTTTCATACCATGAATATAAAATTCACCCAACAAATGAATAAAAGCAAAGAACTGAACAAATCAGTGGGCAAATGACAGCAACCACCACTTATGGATTTAGAGATAACTATACAAATTAATGGTGAAGGCAATGAAACGCATGGACAACGCAATTAATGAAAAGTATCTCCGTGTTGGTTACGTTCTGGGCACAAGGCTAAACGGTTAACATATTAACATGCATCATACTTCACTTAATCCCCTTTATCACAGCAGCAAAGGGCTTGCAGCAGATGTTTCGGCCTGCCAGCCCACAGATGCATTCTTATGCAATCCGCCATAAGTTTTTTTTTTAATGTAAGCCAACATTTTTAAATCTGGGAATTTCACAGAGACATTTCTGTTTCTCTGTAAAACGTGGCAGATTTAGCACCTGGAGCCCACATTCCCACATGGCCACACTTGGCTGGCACTGAGGACCAGATGCCCCCTTGAGTCAGGGTCAAGAGACCCTGGGCTGCCCTCCAACCCCCACTGGGTCTCCCACAATGAGATCAGGAGCCACTTACCATTCTCATCACTGTGTCTGTATTATTCACTGGCCATTTATCATGGTACCTGCACTGCTGTTTTTCTTAAGGGAAATAGCTCCCTACACCCATGTCTCTATTAAAAATTGAAAAACAAAAGTGAGGTCTTTACAAAGTCGAGGGACTGGCCTGGCCCTGGAGGTTGCTCGCCCCAACTCTCCGGATCTGGCCCCTGCCCCTCCTCCTCCCATCTATGCTGTCCTTGCTCACGTGTTTCATGGTCTTCTCCGTGAAATTGCTTAGTTAACTGTAAATCCATACCTTTAGTTTCTATTGGAGTATAGTTGATTAACAACGTTCATTTCTACTGCACAGCAAAGTGAATCAGGTATAAATACAAACATATCCACTCATTCTTAGATTCTTTTCCCAGGTAGCTCATTACAAAACACTGAACAGAACTCCCCGTGCTATACAGCAGGTCCTTATGAGTCATCTATAGAGAAAGACAAATACCATATGGAGTCGCTCCTGTGTGGAATCTTAAAAAAAAGGTGCAAATGAACTTATTTACGAAACAGAAATAGAGTCGCAGATGTAGTAAACAAACTTCTGGGTACCAGGGGGAAAGGGGAGAGGAGAGATAAATTGGGAGACTGGGGTTGACACATAAATCCGTATTTTAAAATAAAATAAATTAGTATCACCCCCCTCAATTTCCTCGACTGCGGCCATACAGCCTCCCCAGGAAGGCGCCCAGTGGACCCCCCTCAGGGCCCCAGCTGCCCCCTTCCCTGGCTCCCCCTCCCGCTCAGGCACCCTCCCAAGCAGCTCACTGTGTTCGTTTCCCTCCAAACCCTTACCACAGTCTGAAATTCTCCTGTGTTCTGTGTTTACTGATTTATAGTTTGTCTCTGCAAAATAAAAGCGCTCCACCCTGCACACAGCAAGCGCAGATCTATTTGGGCAAATGAATCTACATAACACCCTTAGGAAGTGGATTCCTTTATTCCTCTGCTGCTGGGAAGCAGCAGAGAGGGGATAAAAACCCCAGACTGCTGACAAAAACCGTCCTTTTAACCACCATACTGTACTGAATATAGGGCCTCCATCTTTCAAGAATGTGTATATACACATTTGAAAACGTGCTTTAGGATTTGTGCAGACTGACTGGTTTTAAGAACCTACAAATATTTGTCAAAAGCCTCCCTAGGTGCCCCAAGCGCCAGGACCCATAGCAATGAGTAAGAAACAATTCCTGGTGTTCACGAGCTTACAGTCAAGTCAGGGACACAGACAGACAAAAAAGTCAACTACCTGACAATGGGGTGGGTGCTGGCACAGGGCTAGCTCACAGAGGTGGCTCTGGCTCCTATCATGAAAGGTCAGGATCGGGGGAAGGTTAGTAAAGGGCTCCCCAAAATATAACCTGCAAAGTCACTCAAGTCCTGAAAGCCAAGTTAAAGCAAATTTATGAATGAGTTCATCAGTCACTAAACGAGGGCAGGAAGGCCCATTTAGGAGGGCTTTATCATTGGTCACATTTTATCACCTGTTAGCTCCAGCTACTGTACACGTATCCTCATAGTGACTAAAATTAGACTGCGCGTTTTCCTCTAAGGTGACTAAGGCACCTTAAGAGATAAAATGGGAAATTAAGATCTTACTACTTATAATGCTATTGGTGGGGAGGCAGAAAGAAAATAATCTATATACTTTTTGTGAATGAAATAATTTGGCCATTTAATCCAGTAAATTACATCAGGTTCCATAACTATAAGACTTAATAAAGAAGCTTCCTTGTCAAATACGGTTGGAAGACATAACTTCCTGAAATATTAATCATCTGGAGAGCTTCCCAGAAATCACCCTGAATATGATCATCTCTTTTTATTAAACAGCAATAGAGGGACTTCCCTGGTGGCACAGTGCTTAAAGAATCTGCCTGCCAATGCAGGGGACGCAGGTTCGATCCGTGGTCCGGGAAGATCCCACATGCCGCAAAGTAACAAAGCCCGTGCGCCACAACTACTGAGCCTGTGCTCTAGAGCTGACAAGCCACAACTACTGAAGCCCACGTGCCACAACTACTGAAGCCCGCGTGCCTAGAGCCTGTGCTCCGCAACAAGAGAAGCCACCACGATGAGAAGCCTTCGCATGGCAAGGAAGAGTAGCCCGTGCTCACCACAACTAGAGAAAGCCCGCACACAGCAACGAGGACCCAACGCAGCCATAAATAAATAAACACCAACAGATGCTCCATAACAGAAAATCATTTGCCACAGAAAATATCCTATTAGCAGGTAACAGCCATCAAGTTGAAATGCCTTCTTTACACACACTCCCTCTAGACCTCACACCAGTCCAGTGTCTCTACTGTGTAGTGAAGTGATAGGGCCCCCCAAAATTACATTCAACCTACCCACACCCACACTGTCTTTGAGAGGAAGAGACAATATCCTCAGCTTAGTATCCTTAATTCTAAAACCAGAGTTCTATCTTCTGTACCACATGATCTCCAAAGTCCAATGAGCTGCAATAAATGTCGAATTTTTTAGAGAAAAAAAATTATTAGTTTTTGGAATTTGGCACCTGGAGCTGACCTTTCCCATATGACTAGGAAAAAAAAAAAAAAAAAAAAAAAGGCAATTCCATTGACTGTGGCCAGCCAAGGCCAACCTCACAGGTCATTCACCAGGCTGCAGTCCCCACACGGAGCTCTGAATGGATGCCTTCTCCGGCATCCCTTTATACGCTCATCACTGCACTGAATCTAGTCATGAAGGGCAGGTGGCTCGAGAATCAAGGACCAGCTCTGCCGCTTTCTAGCTATCATGTTGGGCAAATTACTTTCAGCAGCCTCACTTTTCTCCTCTGTACAATTAATGACTCACAGAGTTGTTGTGCTTCGCTAAGAAAATATGTGGAAAACCCAAAGCACAGAGTGTGGCACGTATCGATTGCTCGGTAATACCGTTGTTGCGTTCATTCCACATTGATGACCTTTGGCCAGGCACTGTCCTAGACAATAGGGATACAAGAGCAAACAAGACCGGGCTGCCCTCCAGGAGCTCGTGGTCTAGCGAGGAGAATACTAGTTAACCCACCATTAAGTACTGGGTGCCAAGCTGCAGAATGGGGAACGGCAACAGGAGTGTACTGAAGGGATCCTAACCCAACAGTGTACTGTCAAGAAAAGTTATCTCAAGGAAATGCCTATTAACACTGTGACCTAAAGGAGAAGAAAAAGTTGGCTAGTTGGGGAAAGAGGGGAGAAAGTGACCAAGGCAGAAGAGGAGTGTGTGTGTGTAGAGAGTTCTAGAAGGAGGGAGAGCAGGTACCCTGGAGGGCTGAGGGGGATTCAGTGCGGCAGAGGCGCTTCGAGGCCCCCTCACGCCGCCGAGCCAGGGCCCTTGTCGCGCGTTTTCTCCAGCTGCCCACGGCTCCGCACACGGGCATGCACAGTAGAGACTTGAAGACACGACACAAAGGCAGCCAGGACCTGTGCTCGGCTATCACCTGCTACAAGTAAACTCTGAGAACCAGCGGGGTAACTACCCACAGGCAGTCAGACTCCCCATAGGAAGTTATCAGTGAAGCTTTTTAAACCAGCCCCTCTGGTGACTCCAAGTCAGTTCCCACAGCTCAGACATTGCACACTGTTCACGGGTTTTCACCTCAGCCAATTACGGCAGCAGCAC